ACATGCCTGTAATTATTCCAGCACTCAAAAGAGGTAGAGGCAGGATCAGAAGTTCAAAGTCACCCTCTGCTACATAGTGAGTTTGAGGCCAGTCTGGGCTGCATAAAATCCTGTCTCAGAAATGTTTTTCTATATAGAAGTATGAAATTTGCCTGGCAATGGTGGAGCAGGCCTTTAATTCCAGCACTCGGGAGACAGAGCCAGGCGGATCTCTGAGTTCAGTTCGAGGCCAGCCTGGGCTAGCTACAGAGTGAGTTCCAGGACAGTAAGGACTAAACAGAGAAGCCCAGTCTTGGAAAACCTATATATATTTAAAGTTACATTTTTGAGTAGATAAAACAACCTTATAGTTCAACACTCTAGACATACATAGGAAATAGTAACTTAAAAAGACGTGTTTCCACCCCCTGTGGCCGTGTGCGGTGTGCCTGCCAGAAGCTGAAGGCTAGATGGCTGGACGATTGCGTGCCCATTCCCTCCCACTAAGTGAGGGTACTCGTCTCCAAAGCAAGCAGGGGCTGACCCCAGATAGCAAAGGCTTTTAAAGCTTCTGCACTGAGTAGAGCCACCTGCGTTTTTACACCAGGCACTACCTGACTTGGTTGGGTATCTTTCCCATCTCCGAATGATGGACAACCATACTCCTATCTTTTCCAAAACCCTGATTCTGGAAGACCTGGCACTAAACCTTCCCCTTGGCCCTCTCTGCTCTCTCCCCAGGACCGCCCCGAGAGCCTGCCCACGTCCCCGCCCTGGACGCCGGGCGCTTCCCGGCCTCCCAGCAGCCTGGACGGCTGGGTGAGCCCGGGACCGTGGGAGCCGGGTCGCGGGAGCAGCACGAGCAGTCCTCCGCCGCTGCCGCCGCCGCCGCCGCCGCCCATGTCCCCCTCGTGGAGCGAGCGCTCGGTCTCCCCGCTGCGACCCGAGGTCGATGCGCGGCCCCCCAGCCGCCAGCTGCAGGCGCTCCTGGCGCGCAACATCATCAACGCGGCCCGGCGCAAGAGCGCCTCCCCGCGGCCAGCGGCCGCCGAGACCCTGCGGCCCTTTTCCCCGCCGCGGGGACCGCCGCCGCCGCCGCCGCGCATGCGCTCGCCGCAGCCCGCCCGCCCCGCGGGCACCTTCCGCGGAGCTGCCTTCGCCCCGATCCCGCGGAGCCCGCTGCCCGTCGGGCCTCCGTCCTGCGCCAGTCCCCGGAGTCCGCAGGCCACGCCGTCCAGGCCTTTTCCCTACCGCCGCTCACCCACGGACTCCGACGTGTCCCTCGACTCCGAGGACTCCGGGCTTAAGTCGCCCGGCATCCTCGGCTACAACATCTGCCCTCGAGGTTGGAATGGCAGCCTGAGGCTCAAGCGTGGTAGTCTCCCCACCGAGGCCTCCTGCACCACCTAAAGTTTCCCCACCCCGGGAGAGCCGAACCAGAGGAGGCACCCAGCTTGGGGGACCCCAGCCCCGGGACCTCAAAGGGTCTGACCTCATTGGACAGCTCCAGAGAAAGTGGTCAGGGAAGGAGAGCTCTGGGCCTGAGGGCCGAGTAGCTAGTGACTCAAACTTGGGCTCTAGCCCTTGGCTCTATCATTCATTTGTGTGACCCCGAGCAAGAGCCTCCTGTCCCTGCCCCTCAGATTTGGCCGATGCAGTCTCCAGACATCTTCCCCTTCCATCCACACACTTGTGCCTTGGGGAAGGCAGCTCAGCTCCCTGCCCCTGGACCTGCATGCAGCATGCCAGGCTTCCATGTTCCTCCCTTACTCTGTCCTCCGTCGGCCTGGCAAATGAAGTGTGTGTTGAAAAGAACCTGGGCCGTGACCCATGCATGCCCAGGCCCTGGCTTGACCACCAGCTCCTGGCACCAAGTCCTAGGCCAGAACAGCTGTTTTCCATCTCTTCTCAGACCAGCTCTATTTTTATCTGGTGACCTTTAGAGAGATCTCCCAGGCAAGCTCAAGGTGCCCTGCTGGGCCCTGCTGGGCCCCTCTGGGGAGAAGGAGCTGGAAGATCCTCCCCAGGCCCTGCCATGCTACTTTCTCTAACGCAGCTCAGGGTGGCCAGGGTATCTTATGGCCAGGGCAGAGCAGTGTTCCCTGGGGCCATGGGTCTCAGACCTCTGCCCTTCTTGGCCTGTTCATGGCAAATTTGGGGTTTTTCAAAGCTGGGGAGAGAAGAGATGGCAGCCTTACGTGGCTGCCCCCAGTCTGTCTTACCTATTTGGAAAGAGGTCCTTGTTAACAGAATGTGTAAGTCATGGCCAGGATGCATAGAGGAGACTCCAGTATTGGGTAGAGTTGGCTCCTGACCTCTGAGGATTCTCACCCTGAAGTGCATCCCATAGTATGAGAAAGTGGGGATGAGGGTGGAGGACCACAGGGCTTGAATTCAGAGACAAATAAACCTGGGTGGGAGGAAAGAGGTATGCCAGTATGGGCCTGTGTTTCTGGCCACCAAGTGAATGTCTCCTTCCTTCAGTCTCAGGCCTCGGCCTAGTGTCTATACCATGCCTAGAAGAGTGGGCACGGTTATATTCATTTTTCTTCACATCTCACTCTGGCCTAGCTCATGCCTTTACCCAGTGGCCTTGAGGAGCCTGTCCCCTAAACTTCAGTGACTCTGATTCCAATCCCCAAGAATGACACTGGGAAGAATGTAGCTGAGGTATATGGTTTTCATTGTTGGCTGATGGTACCCCTTGAGGTTCAGAATATCAGAATTCAGAACCTTGGGTACTGGTGTTGTAGTTCAATGAAGTGCAAATATATGTAGGTGAAAAAAAAAATACCAGAATGTTGTTAAAGGCAAGGGATGATGTGATTTGGGGTAATTGGTAGATTTCCCCCCACATTAGGGTGATCTAGAGCCCCTAAGTAAGGCTAAGGGAAGCTAGGGTCAGGATGGAATAAAGTCGGGCTTGGGATGGAGTGCATTGGGATAAAGGGGTGATCTTGGCAGGTTCCTAATGGCCATGGGTTGGGAACCAGGCCCTACTGGGAAGATGAGAGGGCACTGAGGTCAGTCAATAATAAATGAACACATTTACCAAAGCTCTTACCTGCTGCAGCATCCCTTGAAGCTAACTAAGGAGTCCCAGGCTAAGGATGCCTTCCAGAGAAAAGATACTTCTAGACATCTAGCTGATGCTGTGGCATAGATCGGCTTCTACCTGCATTTCCTCAGAGAACCAGCAGGAGGCAGCTTTGAGAAACGACAGTTCTGACAGTTCTGAGCTGCTGTTCTGTCATAGTGACTGCCTTCTCCCTTATGTTCTCCAACACACTAGAGCTTGCCTGTATCCTGCCTCGTGCCTCTTGTAGAATTCAGAGCAATAAATGCTTTCTGCATTCCTCTGCCTCCTGTGTCATTTTTGCCTTTCGGGAAGACTTTCTCTTCCTCCCAAATATACATCAGTCCACAGAATATCTGAGACTCACGGTCTGGGAGTTTGGAAGTCATAAGACGGGGTGGAAAAGCTTGGGACCACAGAAGTCCTTGGATTGGAGCCTAGGATCTGTCATTGATTAGCTAGGTGGATCTGAGGACACCATTCCTTCCCCATGTCTCTGCTTCCCCATCTGAGTGATGGGACAATTGATCTAAGTGGTGTCTGCTACAGGATGCTGTTGCTGGCGTGGGCAGAGCCACGCTGGGCCAGGGTCCAGTGCTCAGCTACTACTTCATTGAAATCAGGATTCCAGGATGGGACAAGAGTCTCCAGGGGGAGGTTCTATGTGACTATGGGCAACTATAGTGAGACCAGGGTCATTGGGCCCAATTCCCATGGGCCAACCTTGGCTCAGAGAGAGTGATTGTGTTCCTGCTTCTAGATGAGGACATCCCTTAGTCCTGCCCTCTTAGATTCAGGCCCAGCAGAGACTGGGCCGAGCAACCCAAGGGGCAGAAAGCTGAGTTCAGAGCAGAGCCCAGGATGCTGTCCCAAATGGGCATCAGAAAGGTCCACTGGGGCCATCTGCAGTGACAGACTCAGGTGCTTGCCACCCTGTTTCCAGGGAGCTCTTGCTGTGCCCACCCTTCCCTGGGATTGACTTGTGTGCCTCTACCAGGTCACAACTTCTGCTGGAACCTGAGTACAGTCAGTATCTGACTGCCGACTGGTGACTTCACTCCCTTACCTCTTGTCCAGTGCTCAGTGCCTCAAACTAATTCATCCATGATGGAATGAGCTCACCATCTGACCCCCTCCCCCTGCTCCTCCCTTCCTGCACCACCCGTTACCAGACCACCTCCAAGATGTGGGCATTATTCAAGCGCCCCTCAATACCCCCACCTCCTCCCTGCCCTTTCTGTCTCCACCCTGAGCCAGCTACCCGCCCCCCGCCCCCATCTCTCTCTTGGCTACCGCACAATCTCCCTGCCTCTAGTCTGGCCCCCTTCAACCCTGTATGTGTACAGCAGCTGCGTCTCTGGAAAATGTCAATCTCATCATCACACTCCGCCGGCTTAATCTCTTCATCAGCCCTTTGTAACACAATTTCCTTTTGGAAATCTGGCCCCTGTCCCCCCCCCCCCCCCCGCCCCCCAATCTGGTCTGAACTCCCAGCCCCACCCTCAGCTCCTATCTCTGCCCCTGCGGGCCAACCCTCCACAGTCTTTGCAAGAAGAGATCTATCCTCCACCTGCAGGGTCCCTGGCCCCTCTGCCTGGTGAGCTGCATCCTCCAAGACCCAGTGCCAACGTCCTCTCTTCTGGGAGGCCTTCCCAGGCTCCACACTGAGCTGGCGCTGTGTTCCTTGCTCCTTGAGCTCCTTCAGAAGCAATGCTAGAGATACAGTAGCCCAAAGGCTGGTTCACTGGTTGTGTCTAAGCTAGCTAAGCTCCTTGAAGATAGAGTCCTGGCACGTTTGTTTTTAGCCCATGGATAGAGGCTCAGGGAATATGAGAAGATAGTAGAGAGGCGGGGGAGAGGAGAAAGGGAGGGAAGGAAGGCAAGCGGGAGAAAAGGAGGAGAGAGGAAAAATCAAGAAAAGATACTGGGGACCAATTCATTCATTTATTCCTCCATCCATCCACTTCATTCACCCAGCAAACATCTATTGACTCCCTATTAGGCATTACTCAAGACACTAGGGGTACAACAGTTACCAAGCTTCCGCGAACGCAGCCAATCTCCGGCGTTCCCGGGTGACCGAAGAGTTCTGATGTGAACGTGTGTGCAGCCAGGGGGTGCAAGCCCTTCTGTTTGCAAGGGCCTGCTGCCGGGGCACCTGTCTTCCTTCCCCAGAGCCCAGCGCCTTTAGCATCTGGCTCCAGCTCCTGTTGCAGCCCGAAATAAGGCTGACCCACGGACAAGGCGAGAGTGATTCTTGTCAGCTGAAGCCAGCACAGGCTGTAGGGCACACCCTGCTCACTGACCGCTGACCAGGGAGACCGCAGTAGGCGCTGACCATACAACTCCAGCTCCCCCACGACTGAGGTGTTAGTCTTGAGTGCCTGACATTCCTTCCCACCTACTGTGGCCCCATCAGGTACAGGCATTATCCTCTCATCTTTGGGAGCTCTTGGGACCTAGGGGGAGTGGGCAGAGGAGATGAGGTCGTTTTTTCAGGGCCTTGCAGGGGATCTGGGGAGTCTGGGCCTCACAGAGCTCTAGGGTCTGCATTAGGAGGAAGGGAACCAGTAGCTCTCAGGGTCCTGGACATCATCAGATGGGAAGGCTGGGGTTAAAGGTGATGGAGAGGTAACTGCTCTGCTGTCTTCAGGATCATTAGGCATTGCAGAGAGACAACTCCCTGACTGTAAATTAGGGGCCCTGCTCAGATCCTGTGAATGTTTATCTGGGGACAGATCTGAGGACTATGGTGTCCTAACTCAGAGAAGTCACAGTTGGCGCTTGTCAATTGTCTTGCGACCCTAACCCTCCACTGTGTGCAGACATGCTCCGATTTGCATTCAGTTTTAGAGGTTGGTGGATATCTGGAAGCCCATTCCTATGGTTTAGTCTAACCAGTGCTGTTAAATTACAGAGCGGGGAAACTGAGGCACGGAGCTGGTGATTACTTGCTCATACTTGCAGAGAAAGTCAAGGGAGCCTCCTGGACTCAGCTCAGTCAGTGTCCACCAGGGTCCCGTTGTGTATGGGGACACGGACGGAGCACAGAAAGACCTGGAAGCCAAGAAGAGGGGCACTGACAGGGGCGGCCAGGGATGAGGGACTCAAGGTTTCCTTTTCTGACCCATGCTAGGGAAACTGGGTTGGGAACTCACAAGGGTTCTCCAGGGCTTGGCTCTGTGAATCTGCCCCAAGATTCCTGGAAAGCAAGAGAGGGGTGAAGGAAGAGAAAGATAAGGGGTGACAGGAAGGGACAGCGGAGGGCTGGGGCCTTGAGGTGCTGCTGGGAACTGGGTTAGGTGGGCAGGGGCCAGATTTCCAAAAGGAGAATGTTACGAAGGGGAACTGTAGTGGGGGAGCTGGCAGAGCTGGGTGGTTATATTGGCGTTTACCGGAGATAACTCTGCTGCCATGGGAGTAGCTCAAAGGTGGAGAGACAAGGATGTGATGGTTTTGCCCATATCATTGGGCTAGCCTCAGGACCAAGCACCAGTGTGTAGAGTCCAGGGTAGCCCTGGCCTGATTCACAACCCCCCCCCCCAACTTCTTCCAGCCTCCAGATAGTGCTCTTAGGGCAGTAGATGACAATTGTGCCTGAGGTCCTACCTTCCCCACCCCTGAAGCCCCAGGCACGGGGACAGGGCCCTAGAGAGAAGCCCTTAAAGAGAGTGATTTCCCAGTAGACTGGCCTCTGATCTGTGTGGCCTCCTAGTCCACAGTCTCCTCCTTCCTGTAGAGACCTTACAGGCTTTTTAACTCCTCTAGCCTTTGTTTGTGACTATGGTCGGCTCAGGGCTGGGGCTGGGTGACAAGGACTTAGAGGAGGTTTGAGGAGAAAAGGGAGGTTTCCTGGGCCATTTGTGGGCGTTTCTCCTCCACAGGATGATCCCCAAGGAGCAGAAGGAGCCAGTGATGGCTGTCACAGGAGATCTTGCTGGACCAGGTAAGGTGGACCCAGTTCTTTACGTTCCACAAACTCCTCTTGATCTCAGGCTATGGCCATTCAGGCCCGCTGGCCCCAGGGCTGGGGGAAGCAAGTGAGGGTTCCACAGCAGTCTCTAGACATATCTGTGGAGTATGCCCTTGGGCTAGGATACTTTGTGAGGTGTTTGTGGGAACTTATCCTTCTCCGCGGCAGCTGAGTACCCCAGACTGGTCCTGGATTCCAAGACCACCCTGTTCCCAGCCCTCTCTAAGGCCAAACTGAACTTCAAGGACTCCCTCTGGTTCCAGATTCAGCCCAACTGTGAGTCTCATGGAGAGACCTGGCGACAGGACAGGTAGCCCAACCCCATTTCTGGAAATAGGAGTGTGTGTATGGTAAGGCATGGAGGGGGCTGGAGAGAAGGCAGATCAGCTGGCCTAAAACCATTTTACTAAAACATGGCTCAACTTTGGGAACAAATCCCCCCAAATCCATGCTCAGCAATTTTATAAGGCCCCCTTGAGAGCCCCCATTATAATCTTGGAATTCATTAGAGCACGTCAATTACTCTAAAAATTAATTCAGCTACAGCTAAGTTGGGAGTTTCAAGCCTTCACGTGACCTCAGTGGCTCTGTGTTGCTGGTTAAAATCCAGACCCACAGCATCGCCTCCTGGGACCATGGTTTGGGGTGCGGCCCGTACCCTTGTCTTTTGGACTAATACCCAGGTGACTGGCACAGATGGCAACAGAGACACAGATAAATAAAGGAGCCCGGGGTCCTTTGCTGTTCTGTCTCGGTCAGAGAACTGAAGGACTCAACAATTGTGCTGCGTGGCTTGAAATTTCATTTTTAGAAATAATTTTTTTGAGACGGGGTCCCATATATCTCAGGCTGGTCTCAAACTTGCTGTATAGCTGACAATGGCAATGACTGTAACGAGAGTGTAATGTGGTGGGGGTGGGCGGGAGCAGGTGGATGAGTGTGTGTGTGTGTGTGTGTGTGTGTGTGTGTGTGTGTGTGTGTGTCGCGCTCGCTCTTGCATACGCACAGAAGCCAGGGGAGGACATTGAATGTCCTGCCCTATTATCTTCAACATTATTCCTTGAACCCAGGGTCTCCCACTGAACCTAGAGCTCGACTGAGTAGCCAGCTGGTCCACGGGACCCTTGGTCTCTGCCCTCCTGCAGTGCTGGGATTTTAGGAGTGCAGCTCTTCACATGGGCACTTGGGTTTAAACTCAGAGCCTCATGCTTACACATGCTCATACCCACTGAGCCATCTCTCCAGCCTCCAGGCCGGTTTCATGTGGCTCTGGGACTCAAACTCGGAGCCTAGTGCATTTTAGGCAAACACTAACAACTGAACTACAACCTCCACCTTGTATGGATTTGTGTGTGAGTTATTCTTTTAACCTACCCTGCGTGTTCTTACCTCTTTTTGTTTTTATGAACCCCCCCACACACACACACACTGCTTTTGGATGCTAAAGATCAAATCCAGGGCTTCATGTTAGACAATGCTACACAATCACTCTACCGCTGAGTCACACTCCCAGACTGTATCATCCGTGACTTTGCCTGCTCATATATGGGAACTGTGGAGTACTGATGCTTCAGCTGGCAGAGTCATGCAGTGAATGGTATATCTCTTGCCCATATAGTTAACTACAGACCCCCAAATACTGACACACATGATTTACACTAGACATGATTATTGCTATGGCATGTATTAGTCATCTTTTGTTGCTGTTTAAAAAAAATCTATGACAAAGGCAGCTTGCAGAAGAAACAGTTTGTCGTGACTTACAGTTCCAGAGGGAGAAGCCATGATGGAGGGGGAGGCATGGCAGCAGGTGGCTGGAGCTGGAAGCTGAGAGACCACATCTTCGACATCAAGCAAAAAGCAGAGAGAAAACACTCGTAGCGGGGTCATGTCACACTCTCTCGAAGCCAGCCCCCGAGTGATATACTTCAGCAAGCCCTATCTCCTCAAGATTTCATAACCTTCCTAAACAGTGCCTAGGGATTGAATACTTAATTTTAATCCTGAACTTACGGGGGACATTTTTCATAAACCATCACAGACACTAATGACATTTTCAGATTCAAAGTAGCCGTGGGAAAGCAATAGCAATTGCTGGGCCGTGGTAGCATACCTCTTTAATGCCAGCACTCAGAAGGCAGAGGCAGACAGATTTCTGAGTTCGAGGCCAGCCTGGCCTACAGAGAGAGTTCCAAGACAGCCAGGGCTACATACAAGGAAACCCTATCTCGAAACCTGCCCCACCCCCCAAAAAAGCAATAGCAAATCAAAACACTTACCATTATTTCTGGATGCTATGGGGTAGACACTGTGTTAGAAGCTTTTATTCATTAAGCCATCTGAACCTCATAACAGTTTTAACTTACATATTATCAACCCCGTTCTGCAGACCAGAAACGGCTCAGAGGAGCCAGGCGGCCCTGATAGGTCGGTAGCAAAGCCGGGATTTGACTGCTGGTCTCTCTGTCCCCAGATCTGCTGCCTCTTTTGTGATTTTGTAAATAACACATCCGATGAAAATACCCAGACAAGTGGCCGGAGAGATGATGATTCAATGGTTCCAAGCACTGGTGGCTCTTCCAGAGGACTCGGGTTCAGTTCCCAGAATCCATTTGGGGGCTCACAACTGTTTATAACACCAGGTCTAGGGGATCTGACACTCTCTTCTGGCTTTGTATGCATGTGGCACACAGGCATACATTCAGGCAAAACATCCAAACACACACACACACACAAAATGGTTTTTGAAAAATTCAAACAAAATCCACATGAATGGCTTTGGAAGTTCTTCATAATGAAACAATTAGAATATGCTAGCCACTGTCAGCATACTGGTGTGGATTCTTCTGCTCAACATTTTTTATATGAACACACATACATGGCTTATGTCCTCCAGCTGTCTTTCTTTTTCATTTAGCAGTGTGCCACAGGTTTCTTTCCATCCTGACACGATTTATCTTTCTGCGGCCCCCTCTGCTTGCTTCCTTAGCACATCATTGTTTCGGACCTGTCATATTTATCCAACCAATTCGTGATGGTGGTCTCAAAGCTTGCTTTACGGTGGGATCCTTGAAAGAAGAGCCTGGGTGCTCTTGTGCACAGGGCTGACTAAGGGTAGCTTAGCTGTAGGCTGACTCCTTGTTGACAGTGGCAATGGGGGCAGGGTATGGTTCAGTGGGCCAAAAGCATTTGCCAGGCAAGCACGGAGACCTGAGTCTCAACCCCCAGCACCCATGGGAAATGCAATGAGCATGGCTGCAGGTGCCTGTAACCCTTGTATCAGGAGGCAGAGACAGGAAGGTCCACGCAGCATCAGGAGGCAGGAGAGTCTTCCTCTGAAAAGCATGTCCCCTCCTCTATCTCCAATTCCTACAACCAGAGGAAGAAAAGTAACATTTCCTATTTGTCACAAAATATTAGCACATTGAACAGAATCAGCAGTAATGATTTAGTGCCATCTAAGAACTAGTCTGTATTCAGATTTCTTACAATGAATGGTTTTTAAAGTTTTTAAACTGGGCGGTGGTGGCACATGCCTTTAATCCCAGCCCTTGGGAGGCAGAGGCAAACAGATCTCTGACTTTGAGGCCAGTGTGGTCTCCAGATTGAGTTTCCAAAATGTTTTAAAGATGTATTTATTTATATTTTGTGTGTATGGGTGTTTTTGCCTGCATGTATCTGTAGCATATCCATGCAGTTCTTGCATGGCCAGGAGAAGGTGTTAGACGCCCCCCCACCCCTACCCCCTGCCCCGGAACTGGAATTACAGACAGTTGTGAGCTGCCTTGAGGATGCTGGGAATTGAACCTGGGTCCTCTGAAGAGCAGCCAGTGTTCTTAAATGCTGGGCCATCCCTCCAGCCCCGATGTGTAGAACCCAAGTGAGGCACACGGTTCTTATTTGGTTGCGATGTCTCTTAAATGTCATGTAATCCCAAACAGCCCCTCTCCTCTTCTTTCTTTTTCCGTCTCCTCTTGTTTGAAGAAACTAGACAGCTGCACTCCCTGAACATCCTACATCCTGTTTCTGGCTCATGACCCCCTTGTTCCACTGCCCTTCTCTCTCGAGCCCTCTCCAGTCACACTTTCACAGCCAAATGCTCTATGGACACGCTTTAGTGGAGATTACCACTGACCCCAACTTGGTAACTCTGACCGTCAGTCTTCCGGTCTCACCTGGCTTGACACGTCAGCAGAATTTGACTCCTGGGGCTGCCTGTCTCCGAAGTCTTTCAGGAGTTGGTTTCCAGGTGCTCCCTCATCCGAATTTTTCTCCTTGCTGGCCCCTCTAGGTTTCAAGGGCATTTGCCTAGCTCTTACTCTTATACTTAGCTCATTTCTGTTAATCTGTATGTTGCCACATGTTCTGTGGCTTTACATGATGCTCCCTGGATGGCAGGTTGGCATCTCCTCCTCTCTGCCTTCCTGTTCTCTCAATTCTCCTCTCTGTTAGTCCCACCTATACTTTCTGCCTGGCTACTGGTCAATCAGTGTTTTATTTATCAATCAATCATCCACAGTAGCTGGGCCCTCCCACATCAACCAAGAAAATGTCCCACAGATTTTTCTAAGGCTAATCTGATGTAGAAATTTTCTCAGTTGAGGTTCCCTCTTCCCAGATGACTCCGTTTTGTGTCAGGTTGACAAAACAACCCAGAAGCACAAATGTATTCACTTGGAAAAAGGGAACTCTTTAATAAATCACATCACAAAGCATTTTTTGCTATGATTTCACTAAATCTTATAAAACTATATAGTGATTGAAAGGTTAGAAAAGGGTGTACACTGGGTTGAACATCTCTGGGTGGCAGATAATGTTATTTTTCTTCTTTCCTTATATCTGTACTTTATAACTTTTTAAAACAGTTATGCTGTTTAAATAATGTTAAAAGACCATTTTTAAATAACAAAGACAAAGTTGGGCTTGCCAGTATAGGTATATGTCTGTAATGTCAGCACTCAAGAGGGGAGGTAGGAAGATCTGAGTTCAAGGTCATCCTCACCTAAATAGCAAGTTTGAAGCCAGCCTGGGTTACCTGAGACCCTGTCTCAAAAACCAAAAATAAATATAAACAAATAAGTAAAATTTAAAGAATGTGTCTCAAGCCAAACGCCTCATCTTCCCTGCAACCAGCTCCTCCTTCATCTCATCTTGGTGAATGACGGCTCCACCCTCCCAGAGGCTCTGGTCAGAAGTCTTCCCCTTCTCTAATTATCTCTTGTTGTGGCTTCCCTTAAACAACAACAAAACAAAGCAAAAACCTTGGAGTCCGATCCTTTCTCACCACTAGCATAGGCAAAGAAGTGCAAAGGAAATTCACGGAGTAAGTATAAACGGCCAAGAACCTCGGAAACAGCATTCAGCATCACTGAGCACGTGCCCACCAATCTCTGTGGTGCCTCTTTCTTTCTTTCTTTCTTTCTTTCTTTCTTTCTTTCTTTCTTTCTTTCTTTCTTTCTTTCTTTCTTTCTTTCTTTCTTTCTTTCTTTTTTTTGGTTTTTCGAGACAGGGTTTCTCTGTGTAGCTTTTCGCCTTTCCTGGGACTCACTTGGTAGTCCAGGCTGGCCTCGAACTCACAGAGATCCGCCTGGCTCTGCCTCCCGAGTGCTGGGATTAAAGGCGTGCGCCACCATCACCCGGCCTGAGGTACCTTTCTAAACCCTCAGATGGCAAACGTTCCAAGGAATGATGGCGCCTAGTGATGGCAAGCGTGAGGCTTGGGGTCACCCAGGAGTAGTGGCAGGGTGGCCTTGAGGTAAGAGCCTTCTCTGACCTCTCCCACAGTCCCTTCGCTGGACCTGGGGAAGAAGCTGAGTGTGCCTCAGGACCTGATGATCGAGGAGCTGTCTCTCCGCAACAACCCGGGATCCCTGCTCTTTCAGAAGAGGCAGCGCCGGGTACAGAAGTTTACCTTTGAGCTTTCAGAAAGTCTGCAGAGTGTGAGTAAGCCATCATGTGCTCTTGGGGGAAATCAAGGCCAAGAGGGAGCCAGTGGTTAGTCTAAAGTCAGTGAGCCAGACTGAGGACGTCTGTGGAGGGTGGAGGGTGGGTGGAGTGGGGTGTCCTGCGTGTCCTCATTAGATTATGCTATTATGGGCTGTTTACATCATGACAGATGCGGTTCAGACTTCATTTGGTCTTAGGTAGGGAATGGAGAAGGAGAAGGCAGTAGAAGAACTGGTTGACAGGGAGACAAAGTTAAGACTAGGGGGCATGGTGTGGCTCACCTGCTTGAGTGCTTGTCCAGCATGCAAGAAGCCCTGGTGTTGGACCCCAAAGTTTTTAGGGTCACAAGTGGGTGCCCCAAGAACCCAGACTCCAGTCCAGTTGATGCAAAAGCACGAGGATTTATTTTTGAAGCTTCTGTACAGAAGGGCAAACTCTGCTCCCAGGAGCAAGAGCCGCCTCTTACTGCAGCCCCATGGGGGTTTTTAAAGGAAAAACCCACAAAAGCCAGAAGATTACAATTCCCATACAATTTCGTTTCACAAGATCATGGTCTGGTTACAGAGTGATCACAGAGGGGGTACAGTTACGTCAACAGGTACATTCTTCCTGAAACCTCAAGGGGGTAACAGGGCGGGAGTGGAGTTTACACAAAGGTCGCAGTGGTCCTTCCTGGAACATCTGCAACTATCCCAGTCACAGTTGAGCACATCTCTTAACAGAAATCTCTATACATTGTTACATTGTAGGGGTGGTTGAATAATGGCTGAGTCAGGTGGCCCTTGGAACTAGTTCTTTTAGTTTCTCATTTCCTGGTGCTTGAAGTTTCTTTTTTCCTGAGGCTTGGGGGTGTAAGCCTGAAGGGCTAGGGTCTTTCACTGGGTTCCACCCCCAGCCACACACAAAACCAGTACGGTGCTACACACTTGTAATCCTGGCATCTGGGAGGTGGAAGTGGGGTGGGGAAGATCAGCATTTCAAGGTTGTCCTTGGCTACAGAGCAAGTTCAAACCCAGCCTGAGCTTCATAAGTAACCCTGCCTCAAAATACAACGAAATAATAGTTTGCTGGTGGCAGGTAATTTTGGAAAATACTAACGAAGTCCAGTGCATTTCTCCCTTTACCACTCAAGTTCTGGACCTTACTGGAGGGGGGGAGAGTGGGGAGGACAGAGATGGCACATGGCCCTGTTGGCCATGTGCCTGAGACAGTGTTTGCTAGGGGCTCCACGTGTAGGAGGTGGATATGTCAACGTTATCATACCATCAGTATACCGCCACCGCCACCGCCGCCACCGCCGCCGCCGCCGCCGCCGCCGCCGCCACCACCACCACCCATGAAGGGAACTGAGGCTCAAGAAGTGTTTTATTCTGACTAGATTTACAGTAGCAAAGACTGCTATTGATATTTCTCCATCACAGGCACTGGCTCACCGCTGTAAACCATCTACATTCCCAGGTTCCCCCGCCTTCTACATTCTCCCTCCACATCCCTTAGGTGGTGGTGGTGGTGGTGGTGGTGGTGGTGGTGGTGGTGGTGGTGGTGAAATCCTGGCCTCTTGCTTCGCTGAGCGCCCCTGCCTGATTATTTCCCCCCACAGATCCTGGCGGGAAGTGCCCGAGGGAAAGCGGCTGACAGAGCGGCGCAGGGGACGGTGAGGAAGGGACCCCTTCCTCCAGGGACAGCTATGGGAAGGGACGGGCCGCTAAAGGGCCGCTGGCCATCGCCTCTGAATGCTCGCCCCTGTACTCAGGTTCCCAATGGCCTGGAGGAGCAGAACCAAGGCTCCCAGCTCCACGTGTTCCAGGGATCACCGGGGGACCCCAGGATCGCCCACCCGGGAGTGGCTGGGGTCGAGTCGGTCCGTAGTCCAAGCGCCCTGGCGCCAGGTGAGAGGCCGCTCTGTGCCCTGGGGCACCAATGGCTCAAAGAGTCGCCACAAGTGTCCCTGGTTAGTCACAGAGAATCTGTGTCTCAGCGCAGGCTGGAACCCCCTGTTGCAGACGTCCTGGGATCGGGAGGCTGCCTTGTGCTCACATACCCCACCCCTACCTCCGCTCTCTTGACGCTTCTCCCCCACCCTGGCTCTGCTCGCCCGCCCGCGGGGTGGGATGACAGAGCCCAGGCAGTGCCTGTCACCAGCTCCACTCCACCCCCAGGCTATGCGGAGCCGCTGAAGGGCATCCCGCCCGAGAAGTTCAACCACACCGCCATCCCCAAGGGCTACCGTTGTCCGTGGCAGGAGTTCGTCAGCTACCGAGACTACCCCAGTGGCGGCGGAAGTCGCACCCCCATTCTCCGCGACTATCGCAACTTCAACAAGTAAAACCAGGCTGCATGGGACACAACAGGGTGGGGAGGGGAGGCCTGCGTTCTTTCTGCTTTCTAGCTGTAGCTCCAGCCCTCTGTAGATGTTTACTGAGACCTTGCTAGAGCAGTGCCTCGCGCCTATTAGGTGTTCAATAGATGTGCGTGCGTGCGTGCGTGCGTGCGTGCGTGCGTGCGTGCGTGCGTGCGTGCGTGCGTGTGTGTGTGTGTGTGTGTGTGTGTGTGTG